GGGAAGGGGATCTTCAACAGGTTCTTGTTGCACTATGATCCTTGCCCAAGCCTCTCAGCCAGCCGAGATCACAGGCATGTGGGCATGCTGGCATGTTCAGGTCGACCTGGGGTTCCAGGACCCCCTCAGGACGTCAGTGCTGCGTAGTAGTGCCTTACGGCATGCACCGCTGCAGCTGGGCCGGACTGAGGATTTGTGATCACGTTGTACCCCCTTCTCCATTTCTCCGACCTCCTGGGATTTGAGGCACACATGCACACATGCCTGGTACGGCTTTCAGGCATTCAGAGCTGGGATTCGGCCATGTGGGATCTGGCTCCCTTAGCCACTAGGCGGTGGGGCCAGCCCACTTCTGCCACACTGTATTGGCCGAAGCAGTTCCAAGACCTGCTCAAGTTTGAGGGGAGGAGAAACAGACCCTGTCTCTTGAAGGAAGTTGCTGCGCAGAATCAGTGACTATTTGCATTATGCCACGCCCCTTTTCACACGTCAGAGACTGGCAAAAATAGCACGGTCTGCCGGTACACAGAGCCGGCGATGCTGTGGGAACGCGTGCCATTCATTCCATATCATTTGTGAAAACGTAAATGGGAACAACCCTATGGAGGACAATTTTAAAATTGCTCTCAAAATTACAAATGCAGGAAAACCTTTCGACACAGCAAAACCACGTACTGCTGGTGCACACCCGAAATGCAATGGGCGCAGGGCTCATTGTTGCAGCACAGTTTGAATTACCAAATGTTGGCAAGGCACCCAACTCAGCGGGGGCTCAGTTGGGGGCAGAGGCATTTATCCAGCGGAGGGGGGGGAGGGGAAATTTTTTTTTTGAGAGGTTTGTGCTACAGAGCCCATGCGCTTGCCAGAAAGACAGAGAGACAGAAAGCAAGAAATCACCCCCCAGGGGGGACGTCCACGCTGCAATCCCTTCTCCTCCATTCTCCTCTCGTGATCTTGGGCACGCACGCACACACGCCCGGTGTGAATTTAAGCCACCAGGTCTGGGACAAAAAAAACTTGTGTGATATGGGAGCCTGTTGACTTAGCCATTACAGCAACTGCTGGTTCCAAGAAAAAGGAAATTTTATGTAATTCAAGTTTATTTATTTATTTATTTATTTATTTATTTATTTTTTGAGAGTTTTTTGCTATAGGACGTGTGCGCGCACCAGAAGGACAGAGAGACAGAAAGCAAGAAATCATCCCCCAGTGGGGGTGGCCATGTGGCAATCCTTTCTCCTCCATTCTCCTCTTGGGATCTTGGGCACACATGCACACGCGCCTGGGCATGAGTTTAAGCCACCGGGTCTGGGACTCAAACCACCGTCAACTACATGGGAGTCCAGTGACATAGCCATTACTCTAACTGCTGGTCCTTCAGGTTATGTTATTCTCAAGAGGAAAATACCAGGGGCAGAATAGTGTGTTCAGTACCCTGCCACTTGTATATAAAAGGGAGGGGTATGCTCGTATTTGCTTATATGGGGGGTCTTCCCCCCACTTCGTGGAAAGTGAAATTAAAGTATAAGTCTATTTTGGTGCAGAATTTTTTTGAGGTTTGGTCCCATGGCCTGATGGTTAAGGGAGTAAGGGTGTCAGATCTCACATAGCTAACTACCCAGTACAAGTCCCAGCCCCAATAGCTTGAAAAACATACCAGGTGTGTGTGTGTGTGTGTGTGTGTGTGTGTGTGTGTGCATGCACCTAGCGTCTGACAGGATGGAGAAGGGACTGTGGTATGGTCTCGCCTCACTGGGGGAATGCTTTCTCCCTCTCCCTCTCACCCTCTCTGTTTCTACCTCTGGTGAGCACATGCGCCCCCTGGCTTATAAATAAACAAAAAAATCCATTCATAGTTTTTTTTTTTTTTTTTTTTTTAGAGGTTTTTGCTATAGGGCACGTGCACTCGCCAGAGAGACAGAGAGAGAGACAGAGAGATAGAAAGCGAGAAATCACCCCCCAGGAGGGATGGCCACACTGCAATCCCTTCTCCTCCATTCTCCTCTCGGGATCTTGGGCATGCACATACATGCGCCTGGCATGAGTTTAAGCCACCGGGTCTAGGACGCGAACCGCGGTCGACTACATGGGAGTCCAGCGACATAGCCATTACGCTAACTGCTGGTCCCAGTTTTTTTTCTCTATCTCTCTCTCTCTCTTATTAAATAATACAGTTGTAATTTATTTTATGTATATATGATATAGTAAATAATAACATTTTATTTCTAGTGTTTTGGGTACTGTAACATCAAAAATATATGTAGGTACATTTTACTCTTACAGAATTTCAGATTTTTTTTCTTTTTGGAGAGATTTTTGCTATAGGGTGTGTGTGCTCACCAGAAAGACAGAGGGAGACAGAGAGACAGAAAGTGAGAAATCACCCCCCAGGGGGGATGGCCACGCCACAATCCCTTCTCCTCCATTCTCCTCTTGGGATCTTGGGCACACACACACATGCGCCCGGCGTGAGTTTAAGCCCCCAGGTCTGGGACTTGAACCACGGTCGACTACGTGGGAGTCCAGCGACATAGCCATTACGCCCAGTGCTGGTCCCGAGAATTTCAGAGTTCTTAATCTGCTTTGGTGATTGTCAAATGAAAATACTTTATCAATGGGGACAGCAGACGATGGCGTTGGGGTGCTGGACTCCCACATGGCTGACCACTGTTCAAATCCTGAATCTGGTGGCTTGTTTTCTCTCTCCCTCTCTCTCTGTCTCTGGTGAGCGCACATGCCCTATAGCAAACATAATAGTAAAAAAAAATTAATAATGATAATAAATAAAGTAAATAAATAATTTAGAAAAAGAATATATTTTATAAAAAATAAAGTTGTTTTTCTTTTTTTATATAGTGTTTTTATAACGCAGAGTTTCCCTGAACTTTTGAAAACCCCTTGTACATGCGTTAAATAACTCGTCTGGTGTGGCCTTGCTTCCAGATTTCACATTCAGGCAGGGAAACGTCCCTTCCCTGCTGGCCTGCCCTTCACTCTTTACTCTACAGGCCTCGTGTTCTGGACTGTTTACCCAGCCCGAGTTATCAGCCCAGAGATAAAGTCTGAGGAGCCTGGTTTCTTCGAGTCATGAGGCACCAGGAGCTGCGCCCTCCTCCCTGGATTCCTCTGGGGGACTCCCTTTCCCTTCTCCCCAGCTTTCCTGAACCAAGAGGTTCTGGGTCTTCCTGGGGAGGAGGTGAGCAGAGTCCCTGAACTTCTGCCCTCCTCAGCACCCCATCAGGAAAAGCCACCTCTAGGCTCCACGTTTTCCTCTTTGGGGTTGGCACCTTCCAAAGCAAACTTGATTGTACACTGTGATTGAGGGGCCCCGCCCGGGAGTCTGGGAGGCCTTGACGTGCTTGTGGGTCACCTTGGACTGGTCCTTCCTCTTGCCTCTTGCTGGGGATCTCTCCTCTGAGCTAAGGGGAGAGGCCAGCCTCAGTCTGCCCCAGGCACACCGCTAAACATCAGTGATGACGGTGCCGGTGACGATGACAATGACAATGACAGCAGCGCCACTGTCTGTGTCCCAAGTGTTCTCCCTCCATCAGCTCATTTAATCCACTCAGCTGCCCTTGGCGGAGCTGCCGTTTTACAAAGGAGGAAGCTGGGTTTGGATAGGTAAAGGGTCTTACTCAAGACCACCCAGCTTGGAATTAGCATAACTGGAATTTGAGCCCAGGCCTGTTACCCTTTCTCTTTCTCTTTCTCTCTCTTTTAAAATTATTTATTTATTCATTTATTTTGAAGAGACAGAGAGAGAGAGAGAAGGTGAGAAGGCAAGCCACCAGGTCTAGGACTCAAACCCTGGTTGGCCATGTGGGAGTGTCCAGCGCCTTAACCACCATGCCACCTGCCAGGCCCTCTGTTAATTACACTAACTGCTGGTCCCTGTCATCTTTTCTCTATGTGTGTTGGTTCCCTGGAAGCCTGAGCATCAGCCACTACTACAAATCCCCCCAACACTAACTGAGCCACCATTTGTGGAGCACTTACTGTAACCCGGGCCCCAGGACACACCCATTTAGCAGATGAACACAAGGAGGCCCCAAAGAGGAGAAAGGGACACCCCTAAAGTTACACCTCAAAGGTGAGGCAGGTGGAGAGCTGAAGTTATGAAGGAGTAACTTCCTCAGGGACAGGACAAGCACCAGAGCCAGAAGGACCCTTGAGGGAGGAGAGGGACTGTTGAAATTGACCATCTTCCCATGGAATAGATGCAAAAATCAAGGTGGCCCGGTCCAGAGCAGGAGGGCGACACAGGCTTATCCAGCCGGGACAGGACGATTCCCTCTTGGTGAAGCCCCAAGGTCGGGTCAGACAGGCCTGGGTTCCAGTCCTGGTGGTGCCAACTTCCCCACTTGGTGGCCCACGGACAGGGCTTTGACTACCAGAGCCTGAACATCAGCTCAGCTTCCTTCTCTGTAAAAACAGGAAACCTGGGGCTGACCTCAAGGTACCGGTTTTTACCATTTCAGCTGTATTCAGATTCCATTGATACAAATCTGCTGCCTTGAGCCCTTGACTGCTGCCATGGCTTCTCTGTCCCCCCAAACGTCCCCATGTTCCAGCTAGAAGGGCCCCTGGAGGCTCTCAGAACGCTCCTCTAGTGACCAGGCAGAAACTTCACTTCCGCCATAGCCTGGACTCATGGAGGACCGAATGTTTCGAATGTCACTTCTAGGGTTAACGGGGGTGACCAGTAGGACCAGGGTAAGAGTCAGTGGGTCTGCATGGCGTGACCAGCAAACAACCAACAATAGAAGTGAGAACCACCGTCTGTCCTTGGCCTTACCAGGCAGCCTCGAACTTCTCCCACATGCCTCTCAGGCCTCCGTTTCCCCATCTCGATGCTCTCTCAGTCCCTCCCCGGCCAGGGAGGCAGGTGGGGCCCTATCTCCCCAGCCTATTTGCTCTCCCTCCTCCGGCTGCCACCCTGGCCAAGGCCCTTGGATAAAAGGCCAGGGCACCTGTGAGCTGCTTCCTCCTCCCTTTGGACCATGCTCCGGCTCCTGCCTGCCCTGGCGCTCCTGGGGGCGCTGGCTGCCCCGGCGGGTGAGTGGGACGTGGGACGTCACTTCTCAGAGAGGGAAAGGGTCAGTCCAAGATCCCATGGGTGGTGGGCGTGCAGCTTCCAAGCCCAAGCCCCGGATCTTCCCATCTGGCTCGTTGTCTAGCAGAGGCAGCTCGACAGAGTGGTCGGGAACATGGCCGCCCGGGTTAGAATCCTGCCTGTGCCTCTCCTTAGCTGTGTGACCCTGGGAAAGCTTCTAGACCTCTCTGAGCCTCAGTCTCCCCACCTGTGAAATGAAGGTAATAATGACCCTGCTTCAGAGGGTTGTCCGGGGCATTCATGAACATGTTTGTGGATCTCAGAACAGAACCAAGGCTGGCAGCAGCCTTGTTTGAGGGTGGGCTCTTATTGGTATCCAGGGGCGGTTACTCTTAACCTTTTTGTTTGTTTGTTTGTTTTAATTTCCTGTTCTTTATTTTTTATATTTTCATTGTTATTATTTTATTTTAGTTTTTATTTTGAAGTTGACCAGAGAGAGAGAGAGAGAGGATGCAAGTGAAAAGGCAAGCTGTCAGGTCCGGGACTTGAACCGCAGTCAGCCATGTGGGAGTCCAGCCGCTTTTATCCCCTACTCCACCTGCTGGCCCTCCTGTTCTTTTTTTGGAGAGGTTTTATTGCTACAGGGCGCGTGCGCTCGCCAGACAGACAGAGAGAGACAGAAAGTGAGAAATCACCCCCCCAGGGGGATGGCCATGCCGCAATCCCTTCTCCTCCATTATCCTCTCGGGATCTTGAGCACGCATACACACGTGACCGGCGTGAGTTTAAGCCACCGGGTCCAGGACGCGAACCGCCTTTGACTGCATGGGAGTCCAGCAACATAGCCATTACGCCAACTGCTGGTCCTGCCCTCCTGTTCTTTATTGACAATAGAGGACATGGATGTGCGTGGAAGAGGGAGGGAGTGAGAGAGAGAGAGAAGTGTTCTCCACAGGGTCTGGTCCCACCAGGATTCCTTTCCTCCAGACCCCAACCCCGAGGACCTTGGGCCCTCGTTTGCGTGCCTGGTGTGTTTGGGACTTACTGGGCTAGAAGTTTGAACCTCAGGTTCCAAGTGGGATCTGGCTCCCCTTGGGCAACGCATTACTTCTCAGCCGACTAGTGCCACTGAACTGGTCCGCTTTTTTTTCTTCAAGTTTATTTTATTAATGCTAGAGAGCATATGCACAGGCATGAGGAGAGGAAGAGAGAGACAGAGAGACAGAGAGACAGGGACCCCCTCACCCGGGCCTCATCATGCTGCAGTCCCCTTTCTCTGGCCCATCAGCTCCTCAGGACCTGGGGCACGGGTGTGTGTTTTCAAGCCGACCCAGGGATCTGAACCCATGGTCGTTTGTGTGGCTTGCACACTGCAGTTCGATTCAGAGCAGGCCATCCGTTGGGTCCGTTGTTATTATCCCGTTCCCTGACCTGCTGGTCTCCCCTGGCCCCTAATTCCGTCGACTTTCCCTTGGCTAAGAGTGAAGGGACATGAGTCCTAGCCAGGACTTCACTGCGCGATCTTGAATGGGACCCTGAACCCCTGGCCTGTTTCCTCATCTCTAACAGGATGGTGCATAATGCAGTCGGCAGTTTTTAGACTGTGTGTCCCAAAGCCTGGAAGTTTCCTCGAAGAGCCCAGGGACCTCTCTGGAGGTCAGGAAAAAGGCAGACTGACTAGACAGAGTTTCTCCAGATCAGCTGCGAAAAGGAAATTCCATTTTTTATTTTGATTTTTTTTACATTTCTACCATAGAGTGTGTGCTCTCTCTAGAGAGAGACAGAGAAAGAGGGACAGTGAGAGATCACCCCCCCAGGGCAATCCCTTCTCCTCCATTTCCTCTGGGATTTTGAGCATGCACACACATGTGCCCAGCATGACTTGAAGCCGCTAGATCTGGGACTTACACTGCGTCATTGACCATGTGGGATTCTGCCATCTGCTGGCCCATAGTTTAATTTTTAATTTAATTTGAATTTTTCAAGAATTATTTTATTTAAATTTATTTATTTATTTTATTTTGACCAGAGAGGGACAGAGTGAGAGTAATTGTGGAAGTGAGAAAGCAAGCCACCAGGTCTGGGACTTAAACCTTGTTTGGTCATGTGGGAGTCCAGTGCCCTAACCACCACACCACCCACTGGCCCCTAATTTTTTTCTTTTTTTAGCATTATTTTTTTCAATATTTTCAGAGAGAGACACACACAGAGATAGAGAGAGAAAGAGAGAGAGGGAAAGTGAGAAAGCAAGCCTCCAGGTCCAGGATTTGAAAAATGGTTGGCTATGTAGGAGTCCGGCGTCCTTAACCACCACAGCACCTACCAGCCCAAACTGACCCCTAACTTTTGAAAAGTTTATTTCTGGGGCTGGCAAGTAGCATGATGGTTAAATCCAGGTAGCTCTGGATTCCCACATGGCCGACCGCAGTTCAAGTCCTAGATCTGGCAGCTTCCTTTCTCCCTTTCTCTTTCTCTCTCTGTTTGTGTCTGGTCAAATTTAAAAAATAACAATAATAACAAATGGAATTAAATAAATAAATACTTCTTTTTAAGAAAAAAGTTTATTTCTTCTGGGACCAGCATTTGGCGTAATGGCTATGTCGCTGAACTCCATGTAGTCGACCGCGGTTCGAGTCCTGGACCAGGTGGCTTAAACTCATGCTGGGTGCGTGTGTGTGTGTGTGCCCAAGATCCTGAGAGGAGAATGGAGGAGAAGGGATTGCGGCATGGCCATCCCCCCTGGGGGGTGATTTCTCGCTTTCTGTCTCTCTGTCTCTGTCTTTCTGGCGAGCGCATGTGCCCTATAGCAAAAACCTCTCCAGGAAAAAAGAAAAGAAAAGAAAAGAAAAAAGTTTATTTCTCCCATAAGTGAAAGAGAGAGAGACAGCACCTCAACAGGGCCCTGATGCCATGATCCACACCCAGTCTGTCAGCCTGGACCATGGCCGTGTGTGTGCCCAACGCTCTCAAGGAGGTCTCTGGATGGGAACCCAGAACCCTCCCAGGTTGGTCAGCCTGGCAGGGCATCTGTTTTATGGCTGCTCCTCTGTCCAGATCCTCATTCATTTAAATGTTTTTTTTTTTGTTTGCTAGCTTCTTTTTTTTTTAGAGAGAAACTTTTCCTATAGGGAGCGTGTGCTCGCCAGAAAGACGGAGAGACAGAAAGTGAGAAATCACCCCCTGGGAGGGGGATGGCCATGCTGCAATCCCTTCTCCTCCACCCTCCTCTTGAGATTCTGGTCACACACGTGTACACGCCCAGTGTGAGCTTTAAGCTGCCGGGTCCAGGACTAAAACCACAGTCGGCTACGTGGGAGTCCAGTGACGTAGTCCAGTAACCCATCTGCTAGTCCCTGTTCACATGTTTTTAAGACAAGGTCTTGCCATTGGGCGATCCTCCTGCCTCAGCCTTCCAGCTGGGACCTAAGTACGCCGCATTCTTCAGACAAGGTCTCACGGTGTCGCCCAGGCCGGCCTCGAGCTGGCGATCCTTCTGCCTCAGTCTCCTGAGACTCTGGACTACAGCGTACACCATGTACACCACGCCTGGCCTTTAGGTTGGACGGGAACCAAAGGAGGCCTCCCATGCGGTTGCAGTCTGTGGAGCACCAGCTGCCCACCCTGCTGGGGCTGGAAATTCCACTTTTATCTGATCAATCTGGGCCTGGCAGGGAGCCGTTGTTTGGCGAGCACCACCGTTTCCCTGGGGAGAGCTGATCAGTTAGGTGGAAGTGGCAGCAGCTCTGGTTGGGAGCTTCTGGGATTCCGACCTCCAAGACTTTGCCCATCCACTTCCTCCACTAAGAATGCCATTCCCATTACTCCAGGAAAATATCCCAGGAAAATCTTCCTTTATCTTCTCCCAAACCTCCCACCCCAACCCTTCGTCCTGTTCCTGAATCTTGTGTGAGCATGTCTTCCATTTTGCTGTTGTTGTTATAGGGTACGTGCGCTTGTCAGAGAGAGACAGAGAGAGAGGGAGGGCACAAAGCACCCTGCAGGGCGAATGGTCACGCCAGGCCAGGGCTCTACCCATGCAGCTGGTCTTAAGGGATCCAGCGCCTTAACTACCAGGTCAGGGAGCCGGCCCAATCATCTCTTCTTTCTCCTCTTCCACAGGAACTTCCAAGACGTGTCCAGCCTGCTCTTCACCGCAAAACTGCGCTGAGATCGTTTGTCCTTCCTCCCAGGACTCCTGCTTGTTTAGCCAGATGCCACTGGGTGGGGGACCTGGTGGCCAGGGAGGGTGGCCAGGGAGGGCAGATAGGGAGGGCAGACCAAGCACGTGGGCAGGGATTGGAGGGGAGGGGCATGGGCAGGCTGGGCTTTGCAAAGTTGGCCTGGTAGCTCAGCTCAGTGCCCCGGGTGCATCAAGACCTAGATTGGCCTCTGGGGATTGCTATGGAGGGGGCTGAGGTCCCAGAGGGCTTTGGAATGGGGGTGGGGGACTCTGATTTCCCCTCCTTGATCTCTATCTCCAGAAAATGGGACTGTCATCGAGCACGGTTCATGTGTGGCTCCTGGGGAGTGCCAAGAAGGTGTCTACAGCCTGACCTATGGCCCCGGCTCAAGCCTCTGGGTCAGCACAGTGTGTTGTGAAAACAACTGCAGCAGCCCACTGGGACACGGTTTGTTGGCAGGACCTGGGACACATACCGGGAAGGGGTGTCAAGGGGACTCGGCCTTGATTTCCAGCTCTGCAGCTTCCTTTCTGGCTGATCGAGGCTGGAAAGAGAACCTTAGATTTCCTAGCTGGACAATGGCTGTGGAATACGTTTTGCAGGGGGCGGGGGGGGGGGGGGCCGCAACCCATGGCACGCGGGGGGGGGGCGGCACTCCATGCTCTGTAGCATATTGAATGACTGAGGGACACGAGAGAAGTCCAGGACGCTTTTGTCTTCTTAGAAAGGGACTCCCTGAAGGGCAGTCAAGCAAAACAAGACATTTTGTAGGTGGTAAGAGGCCCAGGTCTAAGGTGACCCCAGCCAGGAGCCCAAGGTGCAAACTTTAAGGAGGCACTCTGATTCAGGAGCTGACCCTGCACTTGCATGAACCGGAGAGTTAGTGCCTCCTTAAATTTTTTTTTTTTTTGGAGAGATTTTTTTGCTATAGGGCGCAAGTGCTGCTAGAGACAGAAGGTGAGAAATCAACCCCAGGGGGGATGGACAAATTGCAATCTCTTCTTCTCCATTCTCCTCTCGGGATCTTGGGCACACATGCACACATATCTGGTATGAGTTTTAAGCTGCCGGGTCCGGGACTTGAACCATGGTTGACTGCATGGGAGTCCAGAAATGTAACCATTATGCCATTTGCTGGCCCTGTCTCCTTAAATTTTGCACCACCGACTTCACACTTTACCTGGCCCTGGGCGGTGATAAAGATCACTTTTTGTTGCTTGGTTACTTCTTCAAGTAGTAAGATTTGGCAACAGGGAGCTGAGGTGATCGGGGCTCCTAGGCATCCTTTCAAAGCACTGGGATTTCCCTCCTCCTAAATCAGTTCCTCAACCATATATAGCCCCCAGGTCCGAGGTGAGGGGCAGGCATGCTTTTCAGTATATGCCATGCCCGTTATAACTGCACTAAAAGAATTCCTGTGTGTACAGATTGGCGGAACCACACCAAAACATGCCTAGTGAGTATCATTTGGGAGCAGATCTGTCCAATAGACATAGCATGTGAGCCATATATGTAATTAAACTTTTTTCTCTTAACAGTAGTCATATTAAAAACTGCAAGGAGGGGCTAGCATGTGGCACCGTAGTTAAAGAGCTGGATCTCATATGGCCCATTATGTGGTTTTGAGTCCCAGGCCTGGTGGCTTGAAACTCACACTGGATGTGTGTGGGTGCATGCCCCAAATCCCAAACAGAGGCAAGGGGATGCGGCATGGCCATCCTCCCTGGGGGGTGCTTTCTTACTTTCCCTTTCTCTGTCTCTCTCCAGTAAGTGTGTGCACCCTATGACAAAAACCTAAAAAACAAAAACAAAACAAAAAACAAGTAAAAGGAGGCCCAGTCTCAGTAGTGCATACTGATAGAAACTGCCTGGCAGGCAGAGGCCATCCGGAAGGCCCACGTTGTGTCCTGGTCTACGCTAAAAGCAGGGTGAGCTGGAGCCAGCAAGCGGGACAGTAGTTAAGACTCTGCATCTCACATGGCCAGCTCTGCAGTTTGAGTCCCAGACTTGACAGCTTGAAAAACACACTGGGTGCTAATGCGGGCATGCCCAAAATCCTGAGAGGAAAATAGAGGAGAAGAGATGGAAGCATGGCCATCCCCCCGGGGGGTGCTTTCTCACTTTCTCTCTGTCTTTCTCAGACAAGTGCATGCACCCTCTGACAAAATTAAATACATGAATAAAATAGCATTTCAATGTGTATGAGGAAATTTCAAAAAGCTTTTGGAGAGGCCAGCAGGTGGTGTGATGGCCTGGACTCCTGCATGACCGACAGTGGTTCAAGTCCTGGGCCTGATAGCTTGCTTTCCCTCTCTCTCTGGTAAGCATATGTGCTCTATTGCAAATTTAAAAAATAATAATAAATACATAATTATTGAAAAACAAAAAAAAGCTTTTGTAAAAATTGAAATATGAGTTTATTTTGGTACAAACATTTTTAAAAATCCATGCATATTTTTTATAATAGGCATTTTCCTTAAACTTTTTTTTTAACAAGGGATTCTCAATAAGATTTTTTTTAATTTTACAATTAAAATATGAATTTATTTTGGTACAAAACCTTTTTGAACTCATACATAGTTTTCCCACTGCATGTATTCCCATGAGTTTTTTTTTTTTTAATTTTTTTTTTTTGAGAGGTTTTTGCTATAGGGTGCATGTCGTCACCAGAAAGAGAGAGAGAGACAGAGAGACAGAAAGCGAGAAATCACCCCCCCGGGAGGATGGCCACACTGTAATCCCTTCTCCTCCATTCTCCTCTTGGGATCATGGGCACGCTCACACACGCGCCCGGCATGAGTTTAAGTCACTGGGTTCGGTCCTCAAACCGCAGTCGACTATATGGGAGTCCAGCGACATAGCCATTACGCTAACTGCTGGTCCCAAACTTTTTAAAAATTAATTAATTTACATTCATTCTCTAAGCATTGTCACAGTATACAACATGTAATTTCCCATCCAGAATATACTGTATAGTGGTTTACTCATGCATGTTATCATCAATAATATTCCATTTCTTATTTCATATATATATGTGTGTGTGTATATATATATGTTTTTTTTTAAACCCCTATTTCTGACCCTCTACCCTTTCCTACCCTCCTCCCACACTATATCTGGTGTCTACAGTTGTTTTCCATTTCTTTTCCCCCTACATTTTATTGATCACACAGTTTCTCATATATATATATATATA